TTAAAATATTTGTTAACCGGTTAATTAACCGGTTAAAATTAACTTTGGCCAGTATTATAAATTTGGCCAGAGTTAGAAAATATTTTGCAATCATAAAAATCTTAATTCTGGCCCGAAAATTGAATTTCGGCCAGATTTAAATTCATTTATTTTAACTGGTTAAAAATTAAACGGTTCCAACCTCTAATTTAATTACCGTATTTATCATAAGTATAAAATGATTTATTCACTTTATTTTTTAATTGTCAGGATAATTTAAATGATATATGATATAAGAAATAATACTAATGTCATGCCTTCAACTCTACAGAACTAGCTCAAAGGAATAATTGTTCATAATAATTTTTATATTTTTAATTATTTTTATTATAGAGAAGTAAACCTGGACGTTAAAAGAAAAATGAAAAACAATATAATCTGCTATCCTAATAAAGAGGAACAAAGGTTCATTTTTAATAATCATAAGTGATGAATAAGTGTTAGATACAGATTTATAATCATGAAGCGATTCAAGAAACCTAGAAAAGAATAATCCATCAAAAAGAGCGAGATATGGAAAGATAAAGATGATCGGTCGCTATGACCCGAAAAATAATATCACAGAAAGATAAAAAAAAAATAGCGTTACCTTATACTTCGGAAGATATAAACCGACTATAACGATACTGGAAAGGTAATTGTTAAATCATTTCGCATTTAGTTGGATTGAATGCTATAAGAAACATTAACACATTTCTTTAATACTTACCCTTTGAGACTTTTATCGATAACTTGTTTGCGAATGTCACTGTAGCTTTCAGGAATTCGTCCATTAACTTAACATGAGCTTATTTCTTTCTTCAGATGTTCTTCTTAATTACTACGGTTTACTCTGGTGCACAAACGTTATTTATTATGCGAAGTATAATTGTAGATTCTATTATTTATTTCATTTGTTATCCTCGATGGGAGATAAGGAAAATTTTGGACCAGAAAACTGAAAGGAGGCTATTAATTAACAATTTTCTAAATACGCGAAGTAATTACCAAAAATGATATTAAACTCGGGAGGTCTGATGACGCGGAACTACCGATTTGAGAATCGTAAAAAAATAGGTTTGCTTTTTGGAAAATAAAAGGAATTGTTAAAATAATGATTATATAAATAATATTCAATAAATGAAAGTTAAATAAATCCGTCGTTAAAAAAATAAAAAAAATATCCCGATATTTATCGCAATCCGCAGCAGTAATATCAACCCATACTTGTCGTATAATGAAAAAATTTAATATAATAATTTGTTCTTTTTTCAATTTTATTTATTAAAAATTACTAACGGTATATACATTATTTATTAATTATTTTACTTGAAATTACCAACGGTATATACATTATTTATTAATTATTTTACTTGAAAATATAAAGTGTAATTATAATTTAATCATAGATTTCTTATATTTTTTAATGCATTAGTATATTTTAAAATTCAATAAATCAAATGAGAAATTTCGTTATACGATTACGATTTCTGTAAAATCACTAAAATTACAATTAAAGCTTGATACATCTGCTGCGGAATGAACAAATTCATGTGATATGTTATTTAACTTTATAGTCATTAGGTAGTACAATAAAAATTTGTTTGTAATCATGACGCATTCTAATTTAGAACTTTAGACATAAATAGGTAGAGATTTTTTTTATATATATCATAAAAAAAAACTTCTTTTTAAAAAAATAATCCTTCTCCCATCCTTATTTCTCTCTAAGAAATATTCCTTCTAAAAAAATGAACAAATAATGTATTCACAATTCCTTTTACTTACAATAATGCTTCAAGTCTTCGATGATTTTTGTTATTCGTGACATATCTTTCCTTCCATACTGACACACCATCTCGTTTACTTTTGGTCACTGCTGCCAGGCAGTGAAGGCTTACAAATGGTTTTGGTCATTGTAACACTTGGGGCTTCAACCTGTAAGTGCAAAACAGACTTTAAATTTGAAGGTTGGGAACGTGTCCTTTAGAACTCATCTTACTGATCCATCAAATGTGAAAATTGAAAAATACAGCAAAACCACATTAACTTTGTGACTCATAAACAAGTTAGAGTGTCTAATATTGAATGATAAAATTATCGAAAGGTAAATTTGAACATTAAATATTTTAACTTTAAAAATTTTTACAAATTTTTTTTATTTAACAGATTTTTTTTTAATTAGATTTTTTTAAATATTTTTAAACATGTCAGAAACTTGTACTGCTCGTGCCCACTCGGCATCAGTATATTTTGTTCCTTATGAAAAATGGTCACTTCATAGTTATATAACTTTATTAGTTGATAACTATGAAAACGTTGATAAAATGGATGCCCATTTTTCCTTCTATAAAACGTTAAGTTCAATTAATGACAATGAAAATATGTTTCAAGAAGTATGTGATGTTGCCCAGAGATTCTTGAAAAGCAAAAAAGTAAATATATGAAGCATATGATTCAGATGAGGTACCTATTAAATTCATTTTTAATGGGAGTGGTAACACTTATCTTACCCAACATCCAGCCATCCATCTTAATTTTTTTATCTGATTATTCTTTTATGAATTATTTTCTCATTCAATTTTCATTTATATAGACCAAAGTTCTTAAAGCTATTAATAGCTTCTGGACATCGTCATCGTCCCATAAAGGAAAAAAGAGAAAGTGCTTACTAAAGATAGTAATAGGTGATCAGCGATCAGTAAAAATCTTTAACTGATCGACTGACTGGTTGGCTGTCCGGTTTATACTAATGTAATTTAACTTATTATTAATTTTAATTGTAATATTTTATATTATTTTTATACTATAAAATAGAACTATTTATTGATATAATTTATAGCAGCTTTTTGTTCTAATATCGAGATTATTGCTTTATTTGTATTCAATTTATTTTGATTTTTATGATTTCATAACAAATTTGATCAATAAAGAATAATTTATTTTTTGTTCTTTTTTTGGTTGTAATGATTTTTTTTTTGAATTATAAAATCATCAGATGCTTTTTTTTTGTTTATTTATTTTGAACGCTAACTCATTTTTTTTTAGTTTAAGTTACTATGATAATACTTTAGAAGATTTTTTTTTCAGGTCAGAATTTGGTATGGTAGAATTTTTATTATTTTTTGTAATTAGTTAATTTTCTTTTTCGATTATGTTACTGTGGTAAGTATTTATTAACTTTTCTAAGCCCTTTTTCAGGCTATGATAGCGGATCTGATTTAATATCGCTAATGATTTATAACACTAATTGCTAAAATTAAAGTAGTAAAAAATTTAATAATTAGTTATACTGTATATACGTTTCATGCCGGAAGAATATAAAAAAAAAATTATCGATTTGTAATAAAAATTTAATTAATTACAAATACCCTTTATTCTCAACTCTCCATATTTTACAAATTTTCACGCTAAATACTACGTTGCGTTATTATAATTTTTGATAATTATTTAAAATAAAAAAGTTACGAAACTTTCTTTATTCAAAAAAATATACCGTATGTATTTGGTTTAATATAATTCCATCATAATTTCGCATGTGTTTGATATTTTCCTTTGTAGATCATTTTGACATTTGGCACGATGCCTGGTTGTTATGATGACAGGATGGCACGATGCGGATGACAAGGTGGTAGGATGCCAGGCTGTCCTAATATTTTTTTTTTTTATAAATATGAGTGGAAATCCTAAATAACAAAACATCCCATGGATACCCTTCTTAAATTGTCTTTCCTCCCTTGCAATTTATTTCGCTTTCGCTGTTTTTACATTATAATTTTAATTTATAACTTCATTTATTTTATAATCCCGATATTCCTCATTATTTTATTTCATATTTTGCAATTGCGCAGTTTTAATTAGTATTGTTAGTGATTAGCATTTATTTAATATATTTCTTATTAAATAAATTTGCGTCATTATTACTTCATTTTTATTCAATTAAATCCTGCTGCTTACATACAAATTGTTTATAAATACATAAACGTAGTCCTTTTGAACATTGTAATAAAAAAATCATCAACCACTTCTCATAAAATTTTGAGATCGTTGTTATCGAGAATTTGAGAAATTAATAAAGTTAAAATTCTAAGAAATCTTTTTCATATTAATAGTCAAGGACTAACGATATATAAATACACTACACACGCTAGAGACCAAATTTATGATCTTTTCTAATGAAACATTTAAATTTGTATTAAAAAAAATTTATTAAACAATAAATGAAGTTTTAATACAATTAATATAAAATCTATATACAAAAAATGATTTATTTAAACATGAAAATCACGTGGTAAACAGAGAAACACTCACATGACCAAAATTTACTCAATGTTCAAAAATATATAGTCCTTCACTTCGCTCAAGATAATAAAATGTAGAATTTGCTGAAAGTTTAAATTTTTATAAAACAAATAATTTGTGATCAAAAGTTTGCTACGCCATAAATTAAATTGATTAATCGAAACCAAAAAGTTTTATCTTAAATCGAATTTGAGAAACGATTAATTGTGATTAATTGATTCTGTAATCATTTCTACTTTTTAATCCCTACTTACGGGAATTGCTTTATAAAAACCCTTGACTGTAAATTATATAATCATCCGATAAATATCATTAGTTGAATCTATTATATTGAATTAGTATAGTAATTATCGTTATAGTTATCTGGTTTATGTATAGGATACATTTACGGATGGATTGTAATATATTAATAATAGGTAATACTAAGTATTACTATTATTTTCTGCATGATCTCTTGAGAGAATTAAGGCTCTATCAAGCAAAGCCCAGAGAAAATTTCCCTGAACACTATTTTCATCTCGATCCATTACAGCTCCACAACTTCGGCACTTGTACATCTCAGACCTCCTATTTTCTGAACACTCCTACACCAGCTGCAAGTTTTTGAAGTATAGACCTCATTTTGGATAATAACATAGACTCCTAATTCTTTAGCTTTAGCTACCAGACGTTGGCGAAATTGATAGTAAGGCTAACAGAGCATTTTACGTACAGTTTTTTGCGTTATATTTCTTATTTTTCGATTTACCATATTTGATACCTCAAAAAGAGGAATTATAATAGCATCAAATTTGCGAGCCGCTGGTAACTCCAAATTATCTTACATAAATCATTATCGTTATTATCTTTATACAACTTTATTTAAATTAAAATTATGTCATCAGAATAGGTATAAATTGATAAATGAATATGTCTAATAGCAGTGTATTGATAGCGAGAATAGACTTTTTTTGTCATACTTTTAGGAAAATGTTCTGCATCAAATTTTATTGTTAACTACAAATGCGGATAAAAGCAAATTTTCGTAAATTACTGTATATCATTGAGATAATTTAACAAAAAAAAACAAAGAGACACTATCTTACATATTTAGAATAATAGTTATGATGTTTGAGATAAATAGCAAGCATGCATAAATAAATGATTTGAATTTGATCTCTGCATCGTAATCATAAAATTTACTTCATAATTTTCCCAAAAGAATTTTGTAAACAAAAATTAAACGGATTTATTTCAGCCGTCCCCATGAAGTTACGTACAAAATTTAAAACCAATAAGATTAGTTCTTAACATAAAAGGGGATTTTAAATGATTTGCATAATCAAGTCCAAATCTAAGATTGTTGATCTTTAAATTAAAATTTTATAGTTGGGTCAGATTATGCATTATTGAAGATTCGATACACTTGTCATTTATACAACAGTGTTTCCCGTCCAAATTTTTTCCTGCATTAAAGAAGATTCTCTAGAAAAATCATTTTACTAACCTGTACTTTAAATTGAATTGATAAGTGATACACAATTTAGTACTACATTTCTTAGAAAAAGAAACGATCATGAGCTTTAAATTGTGGCATTAGTGGCCCTAAACAATTATTTAATTGTTTTTTTGAACTCTAAATAATGGCACATCTTCTTTTTGAGATTTGATTATATAATTATTTATGCCACTCAAAAAAACCTTATAAATAAGATCTTCTTCGGCATTGAATTTTTTCAATATCAAAAGAAAAAATTTCTTTTTTTAATAAAAAAAGTATTATAAGTTCATAAACAAAATTCTCTTGACCTTAATTCATAAAATTCAGTAAATCATAATGATCAATGCCAGTTTGTCTATCCTAAAAATTGTAAAGAAACTCGAATCAAAATTTATGAATGCAAGGATGAATTTAAATGTAAGATGGTTGAATGGATTAGAGATTATTGATCATTTATTACTCATCATATTTAAATCATTAATAATATTTTTTTTCTATTTAATTTTATTTATAGGTAATTGCAGCAAAAAAAATAAATACTTCTTTTCCAAGCATATGAACTCTATAAAAAATAATTTCTGGATGATCAAAATGATCAAGAAAAACCATAATATGCATTTAAGTCTATTCAGATAAATTACCCTTTAAGATAACATATGATTAGACATAATTCTAAGATTGTATAAAAAAATTTTCCTTTTATATTCATACATGCATAATTTTTAATTGTAAATAGTTAATATCATCATCATAAGGTTATGCCATACAACTTCAATTTTTTCCAAAAAAAGATCTTTTATTTTTCAACAAATAAACCTTCCCAATCCTTCAAAACTATAGAATTGTAACTTATATTTACATATATAATAGGCATTATGATGGAAAATTTTAAATTTTTAGATAAAATTTTAAATATGACACGATCACCCAGGAGTTATTTCTTTTTCATATATAAGTTATATGTTTGTATCACAAATAAAGGTAAATCCAGTTTCTTTTAAACAAATCTGATATGCTGATTTTATTATGTAAGATCACATGATAAAAATTTTACTATAAAAAAAATCCTGAAGTTTCGTAAACTGACAAGGCCGGGTTATAGGATCTGAAAATTTACTTTGCACAACCCTGTCCCCTTAAATATTGACCAATCAATGGCATAATATTTATATAAACTTTTTTTTATTAATAAAAATTTTCATTAATAAACTCTGGGTCTCCAAGTCAATTTTTAAATTTCAATGTTACGTGAACTGAAAGATCAAAGTTACATGACCTAAATAGCATTTAGATCATAAAAAACTTAATAGATTTAAAAAATTTTTTGACAAAAATAAAATAAAGAATTTAATTTATAATCGTATAAAATGCATCCATGTGTAATTTCTTTTATATGCATATATTAAATAATTTATTAAATTTATTTTATGTTGATGCGTAATATGCATTCCATACGTAATTAGTTTTAGAACGCAATTGACTTTTAAGCTTTAATATACTTTTCTCACAATCTATTATTTATATAATTCTTTTCTGATCCTTTATAAATATTAATTTCCTCTATCACTTTACTACTTCTATTTCATTATTCCTTTCTCATTTCATTTGAGGTGTATTTAATAACAATTAAGAAGAATAAAAGCAACTATTAAAATAATATCGTGTAATAAATAAATTTTTTACTTGCAATTGCAAGATAAACTCTTGCTATTGCTACTAGGTGTGGATATTCTACTTCATTTAACTATATATATTTATTAATGAATTAGTAAAATTAAAACAAATAAAATATATTAATTATTATTAAATATATATCTTCTACTACAATAAAACATCTTGATTTCAATCTGCATAAGGATTTTTTAAATACATTTCTACTTTATTTTATTGGTAATTGTTCTTTTTACCAAAATGTGATCTAAGAATTTATCATCATT